GATCCGGTCAAATTGATCGATAGTAAAATGACGGTTGACCTAGATTTATCGCAAGCATCATTGTGCGACTCTGTACCGTCATTTTGTTTGGATAGACGTACATCCATTGGTCACAAAGTTATGGAAGACTTGCCGCCATCTTTGCAGCTTACACACGGTGTAATTGGGTATCATGACTTTCCGATTCCATCAACGAACCACATGGATTATGCTGATGTTGGTGTATGGATTGACACCAGTGTGCCTCCACCGCATATAGTGAAGCCTTGTATATCGAGCGCACTTAAGCGGATTTTACATATAGATGGAAATAACCGCAACCCACTGACTCCTATTAATGCGTTACGTAATCAGCAGCCTATTAGCGACATGATGCAGAGGACACAACCTAACTCTCCAGCTCCCACAGGCTATTGCAGAATGCATGGACTCTTTCCCTCGAAGCATTTTCCAGAGGGTCATACTCAGTTTCAACCCCATCCGTTGTGGCCACCTCCAAACCATTTTCCACCGTTGGAAATACGCGCACTTTTTCAACAATTTCTAACCTGGGTCCAGGCACACGGCTTGAAACCCAGTGTTTACAACACGACCTTAAGAATCTTCTTCATATCTCACATCCATCTTAGTATTTTTGATAAACATTCTCTCTCTTTACTCTAAGATCTACACACTACGCTTATTTGTTTTGGTGCATAATCCTGATATAATATTTATAACTGAATCTTGGTGCCATGATGGCATGTCTGACACCCAGTTAACTATTTGCGGATATAACAAGTTTATGAGAAATCGGCCTGGTAGTCGAGGTGGTAGCTGTGTAATTTACCTGAAAAATCGCTCGCAGTAGCAACATTGGATAACCCAGTGTTGAACAATGTTCAGGAATCACTTTGGCTTACGATATCTGTTAATCAGCAGCAGCTGCTTATGGGATGTATATACAGCGCACCAAACTGCAGTCAAGAAGACCTAGAACACTTGACGCTTGCATTTGAATATGTCGCTAGCCTACCATTTATACACAAGATTATTGGAGGTGATTTCAATCTGCCCTCGATTTCATGGCCCATAGGAACCGCTCCTTTGAAATACCCAAACTTATCTCCTGTATCCAAATGAATGGTTGGTAGGAACACGTCTTCCAACCTACCAGAGGTGGAAGTACTCTGGGTCTCATTTTTCATTGGGCATACCTGCAATCAGTGTTAACGTTATTGATGAATTTCTGGGGAGCGATTAGCGCGTGATCAAATGCCGCCTAAGACTACGCATGGCCGATGTACAGAACACAATGTATTATCGTCTGTGTAGTTCTGTCAACTGGGACTCTTTCAAGGACCTGGTTCGTGCGATGAATTGGGATAAAATTTTCTCTCTTCATGTCACCAAAATGCAACGGACCTGTTTTATAGTATAATTGGCTTCTGCATCAATTCAGCGGTACCAATAAGATTTGCTTAGCAAACTAAACATAAATCCAGTCGGCCAGTGGCCGAGTGGTCTGCACGTTTGGTTTGCAACCATAAGCTCACCGGTTCGCATCCGCGTAGGAGTGTGCGTCCTCGCGGTATATTCAGCCCGCGCGCGACTGGTGGTGGTCGAGCGGCAGCGAAGCGCCGTTACGGCATACAGCTGACATATTATTATTTATATCAAACATAAATCTGATCGCAAGGTGTTGAAGGCAGCACGCAAGCTTCATAAAAGTCGGCAGAAATTCAGCTAAACTGCTGACTTTGCGCTATTATTACAGCAGTCGAAGCTGGTCGAAGAACAGAGGCATCAACATGACAAAACTCTCATTCTAGAAAAGTATAAAGCTCCGAACAGCCCTAGCAAAGCAGCTGAGCTGGCCAAACTATTCCGTGCCCGGGGTTCGTGTTGCAGCCACAGCTTCAATTTTATCATCACACCTGATAAAACATGCTACGACGCACCAGGTGATGTCTGCGAAGCTTTCAGTGCTTATTTTGCCGCATCAATGCTCATTTAATCATCAGACACCCCAACACTTATCATGCCGTACAACAATGATGGTCTATGCACAGTGGAATTCACTTTAGCGAAAATTACTGGTCAATTCTCCCGCTTATACTCCTCAACGTGCGCAGGCCCTGATGGGATCCCCCTTGTTTAATAAAAAGCAGTGGTAGTGCCTTACTTCTGCTTTTGCTCAACATATTTACACACTCTTTTAACAACGGAGTATACCCTACTCAATGGAAAACTTCTGTCATTATCCCGCGACCTAAAAATGGCGCTGCCCACGAGGTTAAAAACTTTCGTCCCATCAATCACACACCCATCGTATCTAGAATAATGGAAAGGATAGTGAAAGATGAACTATTTATATTCTTGAACCACGCCAACCTTATCAGCAATTTGCAACACGGCTTCATGCAAGGTCGATCCTGCGCAACATGCCAGACTGACTTTTAAACCGCACAACGGCTGCCATTGACAACGGAAACAGTGTCGTAATCCTGTTCCTGGATATGCAAAAAGCCTTTGATAGAGTGCCTCACAGAAGGTTACTAAACAAACTGAAGGCTCTAGGCATTGGAGAGCCGCTGTTCTCTTGTCTGCTTCCATAACTAATTGGTAGACAGCAGGTGGTGTGCATAGGCGACCACTACTCTAAACCAAAAGCAATCACTAGTGGAGTGATTCAAGGGAGTGTTCTTGGTCCACTTCTTTTTCTAATTTATATTAACGATGTATTCCAGAGAATAAGAAATGGTGTTGCATTTGTCTTTGCTGATGACATTAAAGTTTTTTTTACTCACAACCACGTGCAAATACTCAGGAAGTCGTACGTCACATACAGGATGACCTGTCTGCCCTTAACTCCTGGTGTCAACTGTGGCAGATGTCATTTGCTGTGGACAAGTGTAATATTTTGTCCTACAAATGTCAAGTACCGCCAGACAGTTTATTACTACAAGGCGCATATATCTCGCAATGTAGAGCAGTGCGTGACTTGGGCGTGCGATATTCAGTCACGTTTAACTTTTCTGAACACTGTGACTTTCAAGTTTCGAAAGCCATGATGACCATCAGTTATATCTGCCATCATTTTTACCTCACGGAATCTCGCATATCGCTTTACAAAACATATGTATTGCCGTGTATGGAATACTGTTCAATGGTACAGTCTAATCTGCGGGAATCTGACCAGCACGCTCTTGAGAGGGTCTAGAAACACTTCACGAAAAAGCTATGTGGATATTCCTTAAACTTGACATGTAGAGAGCGGTGTGATAAACTTGGATTTGACCCAGTTTGGCTTCGGATAATGAAGCTGAACCTATGTTTTCTTTAAAGAATCACAAATTGTCAAATTCGCAGTCTTGAAAACGGTGCTCACATAACTTTAAACAGCAGATATCCAATACGTAACAAAGAGGTAAAGGTCATGATTCCAAAATTTACTACAAAAATCAGAGAGCGTTTCTTTCTAACCCGACACTCAAAGATTTGGAACTAATTTCCAAGTGATATCAGAACATGCTATACACTTTGAAATTTTAAGCTTGCGATTAGTAAGCATTTAACCGTCCAAAACGTGATTAAAATGTTCGGAACATCACAGTCCCTAGATAACGCATTCGAAAACGGTATCCATGGTGCCTGAATAAATTTCCGAAACATACATATAACAATTCGGAAACAGCACCTTTCATTACATTTCTTTTACTTCTCGACCCAAATATCTGTCATGTGATTGTGAAGAATCCTGATTCAATGACAGGAAAAATAGCAGAACGATTCTGCTTACTCTGTTATCTAATTTACACTTGCGCCCATGTTTATCTCTGAAAATGTAATAATGAAATGTCATGGAAAACTTGTACCATTATTTGCTCTGTCCCTATTAGGGAACAGCTTCTCGATTCTTCGAGGAATATACAATTTATTTATTTAATTATTTAATTGTGATTCAATGTTAAGGTTACTGGATTGCAACCCATTGATATTCTGTCTAGTTTGCTCATATTGCCCCCGATTATGCTGCGTCACCCCAGAATAGGATGATTAAGGATTAAGGATTTTTACTGCAGCTGTGATTGTATGCATGTTATGAGAGATGTTATCGAAGGATTGTCTGGCTCATGCTAACTAGTACTCCATTCGTTCTAAGAGCATAAAGGTACAAGAACCTCTGATTCCCAGGTCACGGGTAGACGGTGGTACACAGATGCGTTCGCTGTTACGTGTGGTAAATACTTCAGGTGTCAAATGCCCGCGACGTAGGATACTTGACTGTTGTGCTTAGGACGTCATCAGCCACTTGTCGCACCAAGTCTCAAGCGAATGAATGTATTGTTGAATGAGTTAGAGTATATTCGGTAGCTCAACTTGTCGGTATTTGCGGACAAATGTTATACCATCAACAAATAAATACGGCACGCCGTTTGTTAACCGAACTGCTATCATTGACACAAAGAAGGGAATTTAATGTACCGAGCGCACATCTTTGTTTAACTCCGCTGGTAAGTGCACGCGGGGAAAGCAACAGTCGCCTAAGGTGACTATTTTAGCGGGACCGTTCATGTATGATCAGAGCCAACTCATTAGTGTGATGCGGACTTCAAATCCATGCACCTGAATCGACAACCGTTTGTGAGGCACACGATCGAATGTTTTCTGCATGTGCAAGCATAGTATTAATATGGCCTATTTTGAGTCAATAGAGTCCAGTATGAAGTTCAGATAATGCAGCTACCAGAATGTTTATGATCGTTAGTAAAGGAAACCAATTTAGCACCCGTCTATCAGCTTTAGTGAGTGGATGAACTTCCTCACACTTTTTTTTACCAATTTCATGATTTATCCGGCTATTATAGGTGTGGTTGGCTTGGCCTGTTATTGGCAATCTCCTCTTTTATGCAGCGCTTGTTGCGAGGGCTGGGGAATGAAGTTTTCCATTCGTCTGCAAAGTAATTGGATTAAAGTGAAACGGCAAACATATACAAAGGGATCAGTGACATATCAGGTCCTCCCAGTTTTATGACGAAAGAGGGATGCCATCAGCTTCCAGAATTTAGCACGATTGAATAGAATGTTGCCTGGCGGATATCGCAAAGAGCAATAGCACTTCAGATGTAGCCTTAGTGTAATTATAGCGTTTGTGTCAAGTACTATGTAGATGGAGAGGAAAGAGCTAAATGAGCCTGGATGTTGTCCACCAGTTCAGTGATTAATGAAAAGCGCTTGTTGGTTCTTCGACGGAGAAACCTGACCAGCTCTTTTGCTTTATATGTCATTCGTAGGGTTGCTTGATCTACATGTGTTCTCTCCAGCACTTGTAGTGCTTGCCTTCAGAGATGTATCAGTGCATCTGTGAAATCATTGTAAAATATCCTATCCTATTTTAGCATACGGTCGTTTTGCTGGATTTTTGACTCATGGAACATTCAGCTGCATCTTTTTAAACCTCACTGATTCGTTTTACTTGTGCAGCAACGAGGGTTATTGGCACTGAGCCTAATTCTAGAAGTTCTCCACAGCTGTGCATGCATTGCTGGAGAGAAAGAAGGCATCCCAATCGCAATACCGAGTTATTTGACGAATATGTTTAGTTATTATTGCGGCTGGTGTAATAGGAAGATGGCACTCGTTTGGTGGCCGTTTTAACGGTAAAGGTTAATAGTATCATATTGTCGTCGCTACCAGGGATGTTCTTTGAAACGTCTCTCTG